CTAGAGCTAGGGGGCGTGGCCTGTGGCTCGCTGGGGCGCGCCCCCCTCTCCCCGCCCTTCCCGCCGATTCAAATTTGAAGCCCGGGCTTTCCCGCCCGAATTTGTTTCCCCGCCGCGCCGACGTCAGAGCCCCTGCAGCCAATCAGCGAGCGGCTCCGCACCCGCCCTCCCGCCATGGAGCCGGCGGCCACCAGCATTCAGGTGCTGCTGCAGGCGGCCGAGTTCCTGGAGCGGCGGGAGCGAGGGGCCGCCGGTGCCCGGTACCCAGCCGAGGCCGAGCACGGTTACGCCTCACGGTCCCACCGGGCCGCCGGCAGCGTCAGGTGAGCGGCGGGGCTGGGGAAGGGGCGGTGTGTGTGTGTATGTGTGGGATGGCGGCGGCCGGTAGCACCGGTTCTGATCACTGGGTGGGTTCTCCCCGCAGGTCGGTGCACAACGCGCTGGAGAAGCACAGGTACCGGGGATTTGGGGAAGGGAGCGGTAGGTCAGGGGGTAGGGGGGTGGCCGTGCCCCAGAGCTGACCGGTGCATCCTTCCCCCGGCCGTAGGAGAGCCCAGCTCCGGTGCTGCCTGGAGCGGTTGAAGCAGCAGGTGCCGGTGGGCACGGGGCCGGCCCGTTCCACCACGCTGAGCCTCCTGCACCGGGCCCGGCTCCACATCCAGGTGAGGTGGGAGGCGGCCCTGTTGCTGCTTGGGGTCCTCCGGCCGGGGACCTGGCCAGAGGGCCCCAAAGAACAGCATGGCTGCCCTGCTCACGGCTCACCGGGTCCCCACAGAGACTGGAGGAGCAGGAGCTGAGGGCGCGGAAGGCCAAGGACCGGCTGCGGAACCAGCAGCGGAGCCTGCGGCAGCGGTTGGAGCTGCTGCTGTCGCCCACCGGCGGGGAACGGGTGCGGGCCGACAGCTTGGACTCCTCCCTGCTCTCAGAATCAGGTGAGTGAGGGGAGAGAGGGTGGGCAGGGCAGGGGAAGCCGCCAGGGCCTGACCCAGCCTCCCCCTGCGCTGTGCCCAGAGGATGTGGAGATAGAGGTGGATGGCACCGTGTTCGGTGGGGACCTGCTGCCCGCCTTTGGCACCGGGAGGGACCACAGCTACTCCAGCCCCTGCAGCCCCACGTCCTGATGGCACCCGCTGCCTTCCCTGCACTGCCTGCCTGCCTCCTCCCCGCCTGCCGCTGCTGGAGACGCAGCCTCCGCCGGCCTCGCCGCGGCCGCCTGGGTAAGCGGTCACGGGTGGAGGCAAGCACCCGGCTTGGCCACCCGCTGCCAGGCCACTGAGTGGCACCGGCCGTGGCGCTGGGTGCACAGGGCTGGGACGATGCCACGGCACCTGCTCTGCACCGCACGAGGTGCTGGAAAAGGGCCCGGCTGTCATGGGGATACCCTCCTGCCTCCCCCGGGGCAGGCTGGGGGCTGCCTGCCACAGACACAGAGCAGTCACCCCCAGCAGACATGGCTACAGGGGAGCTCTGCGCTGCCCCTGGAGAGCCAGGAAGGAGAAAGGAGCGCATTAAGTAACCTGCCTTCACACCCCTGCTGCCACCTCCCCCTCTTGTACATACCCGACACTATTCTAGTAAAGGCACTTTGTAAAACCCTGCTCCGTGTCGCGCCTGCGAGCCCAGACCTCCCGGAGAGGGAGGGCAGCGCTTGCGTCCGCTCTAGCCAGGCCAAATCAGAGGTGGGAGTAGATTCTTTAATGATAATTACATCTCAGAAAGGGTCTAACAGCAGCTGATTGTCAGACTTGTACAGTTTGTTTAAAAATATAAAATCTAAGGAGGCTCCTAACTGTTCTGGTGCAGCCAGCGCCCGCCTGTGCCCGGCCGCTCACACGTACTGCTTCTTCTTGGTGGCTGCCTTGCTCGCCAAGTCCTTGGCTTTCTCCGTAGCAGCCAGTGCTGTCTCCTTGGCTTTCTCGGTCGCTTCCTTGGCTGTCTCCACCAGTGTTTTGGACGGAGCTTCTCCTGTAAGATGGAAGCTGTTAACCCAGCCCCAGCCGGCCCCTGCCCTGCCCCGGCGCAGGAGTGCCGGCTGATGCAAGTTAGACCGGCCCCTGCCCCGTCACCTCAGCCATTTCCCCATGCAGGGGGAAGCCAAGCCCAGCGCTCCTGCCCAGCATGCGTCAGGGCACGTCGGGATGGGGAACTGCAGGCACGTGACTGCTGCAGTTTTACATCCCCGTCCTGCCCGCACTCCACCCCTGCCCAGCCCTGTAAGTGCTGCCTGACTGCTCCGCTCCAGAAGAGCTGGCCGTGCCAAGATATGGGGGCAAAGGCGAGGGATGAGGATTTCACAGCCAGATTAGTTCAAGCCACGACCTGCCTGTGGACTGGTGTGTTCCCAGCGTGACCTGTAACTCCAAGAGACCCATCCTGGTCAGCCCCAGCCTGCCCTTGTGCGCTCACCTTGCATTCTCGCTAGCACGTATTCGAATCCCTTAGTGCTCTTGGTCACGTTGCTTTTGAACCTGGCCAGACCGAATTCCTGCAAGGGAAGAGTCAGTGAAGGTGAAGCCCAGCTCCCTGGTCACACATGCAGCCTCTGGGGCTTTGTCCCAGCTTGACCAGTCCCAAACATCTGGTGGGCTCAAGCCCACCAGCAGTGATGGTTCTGAGTCCCCCAGGAGCTCAAGAGAAAGGGGAAGAATGAGTGGAAAAGGTGGGAGGAAAAAAAAGCACAGGGAAGGGGTAGAGCAGGGGAATGCAGCAGCTTTAAGGCCTCTCCAAGGAAGGGGTACACACTGCTGCTGGAGCACTTGGCAGATCTCACCTGGACGGCCCGGGAGACACCAAACAGGCTGGAAGAGACCCAGGCTTCCCGCTTGACCTCGGTCCAGTTGCTGTTCTCTGGGTTCACCTGGTACACGCAGCGTTCCTCCACCACCTGCACGAGGCACAACCTGGCTGTGGGCATTGCCCGGCGCCTGCCACGCAGCTGCACACCTGCCCCTGGGCCCCTACCATGAGACGTGCGTGGTTGATGTTCCAGGTGAACGTGGTCATGGTTCGGTTCTTGGGGTCCACAATAGAGTCCTCCAGGATGTAGACGGAGTGGGCGACATTGGCCGGGAAGAAGCGCTCCGCCCAGCGGGGCATCCGGTTGGTCTTGGTCAGGAGCCGCCGGGAGAGCAGCTTGTGGTCCGCCGTCACCTCCCGGTGCACAATGTCTTCGGTCAGGACATGTTTGCTAAAATGGAAAGGGGGGAGAAAACATTAGACCCTGCTCCCGGCCAACACCCCCGGGGCTGGAAACCGCCCCAGGCTCGGCAGGGGTGGGGAAGGGGGCTGGGGCACTAAGGGAGATGGGGAACCAGCAGCCCCAGCGCTGATGGCGTGGGGCAGCCATCCCAGGAGACTCTGCTGGAGAGGGAAAGGCCCTGCCCCCGTAGGACCCCGGGGAAAGGGATCGGGGGCGCGGGGTGGAGGACACGAAGCCCGGGGAGCCTCTCGGAGGGGCCTTTTTGGGGAGGGGGTAGGGGCGGGCCCCGGGGGA